AATGAATATCATAAGACTATGTTGAAATCTGACAGTGGCAGTATCCTTGTCATTTTTGTCTATAAAGAGCTAAAGAAATAGTTGTTTATTGTTTCCCCCTTTTCCATGAATGCCTAATATATATGTATGCAGGATCATATGACTATGTGTGTGTTTGTGGAAGCCATAGGTCCATGCTGGTTGTCTCGCTTTATCTCTATCTCTCTTTGCCTCTTTTTTTTTTTTTTTTTTTTTTTTTTTTTTTTTGAGACCAAGTCCTCAATGAATCTAGAGTTCACAATGAAACTAAACTGTCTAGCCAACAAAGCCCCATGGTCCTCCTGTTGCAGTCTCCCAGTGCTAGGATGACAGGCATGTACCATCATGCTTGGCAGTTAGTTGTTGTGCAGGATCTAACTCTTGTCTTCATGTTCGTACGGCAAGCACTTTACTTCCTAATCCATCTCCCCAGGCCTCTGTTCAGTGTTGACTGATTGAAGATGACTGTGTATATAGAAACAATGGGGCAAGACTATGTTGTCTTTTGCTGGAATTTGGTTTAATAAATTGATTGAACTGAGAAGAGCTTCTTTTTGGACTCTCATTTATTTCAGGAATGAATATTCTATTCCCCCTTGCTTTCTTTTGTGTGCACATCTTTCCTCTTGCTTGTCTTTAGCTACTCCCATGAATAGAAGTTAAAAATCATAACCATTTATCTTGAGTTCTCTGTGTACTTTGCTAGGATTTCATATGTAATGTGTAGAAAAACCATAATGTTGATCCTGGGAAAGAACATTTTAGATTGCCTATGACCGGGTTCATGGTTATCCCATCTGTAATAGGTCCAGAAATGTTCATCCTCTTAAACGTCTCTGTGGACAGAAATGAAGAAATACTAGATTGCTCAGATGGCAACCTGTAGCCACCTTCCAAATCACTCAAATGTCAGTCAGTTTCCTGGGGGAGGTGAGGTATGTTTGTGTGCCACATGTTGTTGGAATTGGAAGCAAAACAAACAGAATAGAAATGGGGTTCAGATGCCTTAAGTACATCTTCCCTGTCCGTACTTTTGACTACTTTAAGTTCTGTAGAGCTCATTTATGTTTCTAATTCTGAAACCAAGGATTGTTATGGTTATTGTATTCTAATGCAATCTATTTCAAAGTATCTTATAACTTAGTTAAATAAATCTAAGTCAAATATATTTATTGTAGTCGAGGCCAGGTAGGAACTCAGATTTGCCCCACTGAAGAAGAATAGTCTTCCTGCATGGAACCTCAGTCTCTGCAAGCCTCTACACTGAGTGCTCTTCTGTTATACTGGATAATGAGCACTGTTTATGCTTTCTTTAAAGAGCATGATTATGGTTTTGGAGAGATGGCCCAGTGATCAAGAGCACTTGATACTTCTGAAGAGGACCTCTACTTGGTTCCCAGTACCCACATGGCAGCTCACACCTGTCAATCACTCTAGTTCCAAGGAATCTGCTACTGCTTCTAGCCTCTATGGGCAACAAGCACAAATATAGTTCTTGCTTGTTGGCAAAACATTCATACCCATAAAATAAAAACAAATCTTAAGAGTATATTGCTATGATATAGTAAGAGAACCTTTGAATGGGAGGCTTTGTTATAATAATAATAATACTATATGAACTCCAATGTTTAAGAAAACCGTGGTGTGTATGTATGTCTAAAGAGACACTGATTAGCAATATAGAATCAACTAGTGATTTAAAACCAGATATTTATTCAGCGGCCCAAACAAGTTTTTAGAAATCATTAAGTTTAAATTCTTGAAGGGAGAACATGCCATTTGAGGGCCAATAATAGAGATCCAGTGAAACCACAGTCATTGCAATGGGAAAGCAATCTTGAACAAGTACCAGATAGATCTTTCCCACATAACAAATTCATTTCTTACTGGAAAAGCTCTCTCTCTCTCTCTCTCTCTCTCTCTCTCTCTCTCTCTCTCTCTCTCTCTCTCTCTCTCTCCCCTCCCCCATGGATTAAGAAAGATGAGAATGCCAAGTATGGAGAGAAGCCAGATCTCTATGTTCTATCCCTGGGAAGTGTGTGACTTCTCCTTCTACCTGTCACTTTCTGCATCTTCCCCCATCTAAAATGACCCTGCAAGTCAGGGCTGACAGGACCTTTAACTGATTGAGCAAGAAGACCCAGATATGAACCACTCTCCCAGAAGAATGACCATCTGTGCTGATGAAAACACAGCTCAGCCACCAGAATGCTGAGAGGTCTGTTGAATCCAGTAACTACAGAAATCCTTATCAAAGAACAAATTTCGTAAAGCTACAGCCTTTAGCTTACAAAATTATAAGCATATATTCAATATGTTTGGGAAGGAAGGAGATGGGAGGTGTTGTCTAAATGGAGACTTTATTATAATACCTGTTTTATTTTAATGGCCAAAGAAGCCGTCCTCAATGTGCCAACAAGACTCCTGTATCTGAGCACAGTGTTCATAATCAGGTTGTTAACAGTCATTCTCTTTCTGCCTGCCAGTAATAAATCACTTATTCTACTTATCATGAGAATCCTTATGACTCAAAACCCTACATTAGGAAAAAACCCCATGGTAAGCAGGGGATTTGGTGTCTCTTTATGAAATCAGTTTCTTTATTTATTGACATTCCCGATTCTTATGAAACATAGACAAAAGCATAGATGATTCCTAATAGCTCTCTTAGCACTTTGAATCTCTCTAGGGTCATGCACATAGAAGGGTGCCAAAGGCAGAAGACAAATCAATTGCAGCTACAGTGCTAGGCTTAGAATATATGACAGCCCATTTCAGATCGCAAATAGGCATATGGCACATAAAGTAGAATCAAAAAATGTATTCAGCATACTGTGATACAGCTGTCAATTATTCATGGTGATGGCGGGAATAAGAAAAAAAATGAAGCCATAAATAACACTGAACATCTTTTCACCCACTTGTTTTAGCCTCTTCTTTCTAGCAAACTACATTAGCAATTTAGAAAACTCCAAATGACTGGTATGTTTCTTTGTGTATCATATGATGACTAGAAGGCAATGAAAACATACCAAGAGAGTATTATGTTATAAAAATAAAATAAAATAAAATAAAAGAGATGGACCAAAGTAGAGTGATAAAGTTAGCCAGATTTTAGGTCTATTGGTAAATACTGATAGTTTGTAGAAACTCCTGGATTAGTCAAAAGAAAGAAACACTGGATAGTCTAGAACATTACTAAGATAGTCTGAAAATTACATTTCTGCTTCTCTTTAAAAAGTCTGGTTTGAAATTTAAAATATTTGAGAGTCAAATTGAAGTAGAAAAATAGTTATGAATAAATGATGATTAATTTCATCCTCGTTTTAAAAGAAATAGAGATTATATCCATTACAGTTGACCTGAAGGAAATTCATCAAGATGGATCGCTGAATTTATTTTTAAAAATCATAATAATAGAGAACTTCCAGGGTAGACCACCTACGTTTGGTAAAAAAGCACCTTCCTCTTGCCTCCCTACCCACCACTTGTAGGCTTCCCTCTTGTTAGCTTAACCTGCTGGTCTAGGGAGTGTGAAGACAGAAGTTTCCATCCTGCCTGGTCCTGCAGTCGTTTAGTCCCAAACAAACACAGAGGTTTATATTAATTATAAACTGTTTGGCTGATGGCTCAGGCTTCTTGTTAGCTAGCTTTCTCTTAATTATTAAGCCACTTCTATTAAACTATGTATTGCCACGATGCTGTGGCTTACTGTAATGCTCTGGCATGTTACTCCTTTGGCGGCTACTTGATGCCTCCCTGGCAACTCACCTGTATGTCCTCTCCCAGAGTTCTCCTACAGAGGCTCAGCGGGAATATGCTCTCCAGACTAAACGAGGTCTCACAGTTGCATGGTTGAAACATCTTTAATCTTGAAGACTTATATCTCAACAAGTGTATGAAAGTAAATCAGACTTTTTAAAATGAGTATTTAGAATAAAATTGATTGATTTACAAAACGGGAATGAATTTATTCTCAACACTTAAAAAGAAAAAAGAGCTGTTACAGAAACAGGCACATAAAGGGGCAGCTGTGATGCTGGTGCATGGGGCCTGAAGTTAAGACAACAATGGGAAATATCAGTCATGGCTTAGTTCTGTCACCAAGCAGGAGGTTTTCTTTTCTACCATAGATGGTTTGTAAAAGATTGGAAAAATAGCAAAAGGATTATCTCTAGAATAGAGTGTTGCTTTTCATTTCTTCCCTGGTTGTGTTGGGTGATGGAAATTTTAGGCTACACAGCTACAAATTTTTTAAAATTAGTATTTCCCCCCATGAATAGCACTTGCCTTAACTATTTGTGAACAGCAATTTGTACCCAGTGTATAGTGTTTCCTTAGCTTTTTCCTTCTTTAGCATTTTATTTTCCTAGCCCATAGTGGAGCATAAACAGTCCTTGTGCTTTATAACTGCTTTATTTCTGACTGATAGTCAACCTCATAGGCTAGGAAGCATAGAAACGGTTTGCCTTAGTCGATAAGATGTTTCCAAATAAAAAGACACCCAAAGCTTCAATTAAATAATGCCCAAGGGTCAGAGTAATTTCTCTCTTTATAATAACTGCCTTGCTCAAAAATGAGAACTTCCAAGTCTGAAACATGCTGTAGAAAACGTAACCACTTACTTGAATTTCCTTTTGGACATAAAATAATGTTAAAATTGGAATTATCGTGGTTTGCTAAAATTGCATACGGAGTAGTTTCATATGCTCATGTTTTGGCCCCTATCTTTTCCTAGCCTTTTCTTTGAATCACACTCCAAATCTGTCAGTGAAGAACTTAAGAGATGAGATCTTTAACACATATGTTTAATTGCATTTCTTGTATCATTCTTTGGGGAAAACTTGGTTGGAATTGGTTCACTGGTGCATTTTTTTTTTAACAACCTCAATGTTTTTTATGTCATAATGAAGATGCAACAAATGAAATAGCATTGGAGAGAATGAATATACCATGTCTCATGTCTTCCCTTCTTCTTTCAGATGGGAAAGTTGAAGTTACAAAAGAAGGTGTGAAGCTGTGTACCATGGGTCCAGGAAAAGTGTTTGGAGAATTGGCTATTCTTTACAACTGTACCAGGACAGCGACCGTCAAGAGTAAGGCTCATTTTCCTTTTTTTTTTTTTTTTTTTTTTTTTCACATGCCTTCAGTGTCTTCTTCTCTCTGCCTGTGCAGTATTGATTTAATGCTGATTAGTTGAACCTGTGCCATTTGTTACTCTGTATTCAAATTTTGCAAAAGGTTGACACATGTTTAGTGATACAAAGTGATTTGTTGATAATACATTTTATTTCTGGCATGGGATAATTATCATTCCCATTAAAATTCTTATGGTAGAACTTTTTTAAGTGGTATACTTTTTTAAATTAAAATTTATAAGGAGAAATGCCTTTCCTTTTTTTCCTACCAGTAGAGCCTGGGGATGAGAGCCTAGAAAATTTTCAAGCCCATTTTAGATTATATGAGCCATATGAATCCCACATGTTTTTTCTGAGATTCAGAAAAAGTGAGGTGAGAAGTGTCCTTTGTCTGATGCAAACCTCCTTGAATAAATGCACCCTGGATTCCATGGCTGGATCTGAGTGTATTTTCATCTTCAGCTGCTCATCAAGTTGTACACTGTAGCAGTTGTTCTTTTCTCTGATTGAGTTTATTTTAAATCGTGCAATAAAGCAGCTTGTTCTCCTGATTTTACATGTATGTGTAGATGTGATTTCTCTGGAAATGTTGGGTGTTCAGTGGGAGCAGCTGCAGCAGCTAGAGGGAAGGGAAATGTGTATTTTTTAAAGAAATTATCATCCTGTGTAAAGAAGTAAGGGTGGTATAACAAATAGAGCTGAATTCGAAGCCGACGGTGGAAGTCCAGTGTCTTTAGGCAGGTGTGTGTTACTTGAGTCTGCCGCATTATCTCATAGATGATGTCAATGGAAATTATGATGAGTAGGTTTTGTTTAAAAAAAAATCTTAGCAAAAATACAATTTGTCAATACCAGTTAGTATTACTTGGATGCCCACTGAGTACAATCTATAGTTGGCAATATGCCACAAAGGCAATGGTTGTAAGGTACTCAAGAACGTATGGCCACCTCAAGTCCCAGATACAGCTGACATGGCTTATAGTAAGTGACCTTTCTCCCAAAGTGCCACAGCAACAGCATTTGCACTGAGCCTCATTCAGGATGGGTCCTTCTTCACACCTACTTCTTGACCCTAGAGAGGCAATCCTTTCATTGATTAAGTACTGTCATGCTTTTCTTTCATACTATCATTTAATTCGAGGACTCAAAGAAAAAAATAGCCATGCAAACATAGGAGTACATAGGAGAATCTGTGCAACGTTAACTACCTAATAAAGAGCCTACAGTGACAAAGGAGCAGCTAACCCTCCATTAAGCAAAACAGCTCTTACTATTATGTTTTGCTTTTATAAGAAACATATTTTTAAGGTAAACAAAGGGCCACAAGAGCATGCTTCTGTTAATATATGTTTTTCTTAGAATTGTAAATAATTATTGCTGCTTTGAAATTTTTGAACATTTAGCCTTGTATAATTTTAAAGGACTAGTTTGTTTAAATGGATTTTAGAGCTAATTATTTTTATGAAATGATTACTTTGCTTCATAAATATCAGTGGTCATATCCAGGCTCAATAAAATGAAGTTCATCTTCAGTAACTGTTACATAGTCATGTTTGACAAATTTAGATAGGCTCCATGCATCTGAATTAGTAAGAATAAGCTGAATGTTGGGAGCAAAGTATAATCTTAACTGTTTCCCAGTCAAAATACTCCATGCCAAGGGGAATGAGTGATGATACAATTTTTCTTGAATGTAAACGGAATCACACAAGGGTATGCCTTTGTGCGTGTGTATGTATTTCATTTTGTGGTGCCTACTTAAGGCATGGAAGTTGCATGGAGACATGAAGCTTGAGCTTATGATATGATAAGGCATCTCTATATTTGCAGTTACAAAGGCTATGAAAGTAAGTATGAAATATTGCTTATGGAGAACTATTTCTTTTAACTGTTGCATAAGAACTGTCATGTGTCCTTTCCTATCCAAGGAGAGTGTATACATGACTGTGGGCCTAAGTACCATTTTTTCTTTATGATGAAACTAAATGGACAGAATAAATACTTTATAATTCTTATTAGAATTCACCGTAGATAGTATTTGTAAAAAGTGATGACAGAATATAACACCAAAGACTATTACTCTTTACATGTGAGATTTTAAAATACCTTTAAACATATTTACCTATGTATGTCCAACACTTTCTCAGGGTTCAGTGTTGTTTGACTGCCCACTTCTTAACCATAATCTTGCCAGAGATGACTATTGAATATAGTCATGTCTGAGTTTCAGACTAAAATAGCATTCTGTTTATTTCAAAAAAATCAATGTGCCCAATTGTGAATAACAGTATGTACTTCCTATATAATTCATATACCCATCCATGCCTTTTCCTTTCTTAATTTTCAGGCCTACTCTTTGTCTTCCATAATTAAAAATGTTGGTGTCTTTACTTTCTTTTTCCTCAGGCTGACCAAAAATTGTCTATGCTTTTAAGACATTTATAATCTTGGAATAGTGACTCAACTCTAGGAGGCTTGCGATGAACATGGGTTAATCTTCCTTCATGGTAACACTTTTTAAAGTTTTTTTTTTTAATTAGAATAATGAGTAAATTCCATCAACCTCCCCCTGATAGTGAAGGTGATCATAGACCTTTTAAATATCTGAAATATTTTTAAACTTCTTAGCAAAGCTCTAGATTGGCCTGGAATGTTACAAAAGCTGTTTCTTCGTGGTGAGATCTAACTGAAAGAAACAATGTGGTAGCTTGAAGCAAGCTCTTACATATTTCCCCCTGAAGTTAAAGCTTTTTGTTTTAAACTTTTATTGATTCTCTATGGATTTCACATCATGCATTCCCATCCCACTTATCTCCCTGTCCCCTTGCATATACCCTCTGCCCTTGCAACCTCCTCCCAAACAAGAAAAAACAAAAACAACGAAACAGAGAGGCAGAGAGCTAGTGAGAGAAGAAGCTTGTCACAGAAGCTGTAGTGTGGCCTGTTGAAACACAGTTTACTTTAGTACATTCATCTTTGCTTGCAAGTGTTCATTGCCAAAGTCATTGGACTGACTCAAGGTCTCTGACTTCTGCTGCACCACAGTCACCTATAATGAATGGGCTCACACTGAGGCTCCTTTTAGATAATCCTGGTGTTGTCCTGTGCTGTGTAGATTCTGCTATTTTAAATCTGTAGATTCACCCCCTTTACCTACTCCAACAGTTCATAGATTTGGTGGATGTTGGAATGGGCCAACTCATAGCCCATAGTTCTGAGCCTGGGTGCTATCTAGGCTGCTCAGTCTGTATGATAGCTAGGCTGGTCAGCCCACCAGCTTTCACAACTTGACAATAACCAGGCTAACTCACTCAATGAAAGCAGCCTGCAAGGAGCAGGGCCAGTTAGTTCTCTTGTTCTAGGGTCCCCACACCAACACCACCGGGGCCAGCTCTACTGTTTTGCCCATACAAGGAGAGGGAGCAGCTCTCCTGCTCTCAGACCCTCACGGGTGGCTCAGCTGTGACCAAATAATAGGGTCAGCACCAGTGTGCTGCCCTGGTGGGTTTCAGAACCAGGCTCTCTTGTATGCTGCAGCTGGTAAGGGACAAGGCTAATTCTCTCACTTTCAGGACCCAGGGGCCAGCTCTCCCACCTGTTTTTTTTTTTTTTTTTTTTTTTTTTTTTTTTTTTTTTTTGTTTTTTTTTTTTTTTGTTTTTGTTTTGCTTTGTTTTCTTTTTAATCTTGGAAAAAATAATCAACTGGCTTTTTTTCTAAAAGCCCATAAATGTATAACACCAGTTGTCATGATGACACTGGGAGGAAGGTCTAATATCATGAGGAAGACATATTTTTAGTACTCAAAACCATAGTGATGTAGGAAGAAAAACATCATGGCGCGGTGCAGAAGATCTGTATTCACAGTCAACCCCTGTCTTCCAAGGCTGGACCATTGATTCACCCTCAAGGAATGAAGACAGGAAAATGCATAAAATTAACATTATCCTGGAAACAAAAATCTAACAACTTTGAGTCTCAAGGAATCTTTGTTAGCTGTGATATGAAATTGGCCACTTAGATCATACCTGTTCAAATATATTAGCATTGCAGATGCCCAGGGATGAGAAAAACAGCTATTACAGTTGGTTTCTGAAACATACCAAATAATTAGTGTCTCTCATGTTGTCTGAGCTTCTCAGATTTGTTGGGCCATGTCTAGAGGATGAAGTTTTAGTGTGCAGTTTTCAAAGCCTACCACAGCCAGGGACCTCACATTGGCTGAATACAACTTGCCTTGTCATTTCCCACAACTGCATATTATCATATCTCCCTATTCACTCCTGGTTTCACTTTTACTGCATTCACCCTGGAGCGTTTGCAATTTACACTTACCCAAGGCTCTTCCTTGATTTCAATTCTCAAGGTTCTTCAAAATACCAAAATGAAAAAAGAAGCTGGGCTTCTAAAACCAGAGAGGAAAATGTGTTTGATTCACATGCAGGACAGAGCCCCAGTGATGAGTACCTTCTGTGTGCCCTGTCGTGACATCTCTGTTCTGTTTTGTTTTGATTTTCATTTCCAATGACCAGTTCAGAGTTTCAAAGGGATGGTCATGTGACTGAAAGTATATGGCTTTTTGTCCCTCCTCTCATTCATGGGAACATGGGTATTTTTTGCTTTAAAATAGCAAGTTAAAGCAATGTTCCTCGTATACTGAGTTTGCAACACATTATTCAAATAGTCTTGCTCAAATCCTACTCAATAAAAAATGAAAGACAAAAAGAATTATTTGTCCAAATGAGTCTCAATACCAGATTAGGAAGATTCACCACAGAAAGTTATCTAAGGCATGTGCCTGTGTGGGCTGAGTAGATATTTTATGAGGCTATTTGTACAAAATATATGAGTTATTATTTCTCTCTAGAATATTTTTAACAAGCATTTAAAAATTCCTTTGTAGTAAAACAGTCCAGTGCTAACACAGCACAGCCTAAGCAGACTTTAAAAAAAAAAGACA